CCTCCTCTTTTTGCGGCGATGAGAGATGACCTTCCAAGAGTCAAGCTCTGCCTCTGAACTGTCTTGTGCGTGCTGCTTGTAACCGGGTTTCCCCTTCAACAGGACTTCCGCCGCACGGGAGGTCTATGTTAAGTCATGTGCTTGCTGCCTGACACCAGGTTTCCCCTTCAACAGGACTTCCGCCGTACGTGAGGTTGTTGGTTTGTTGGTCATGTCGGTCTGCCTGACACAGGGTTCCCCCTTCAAGAGGTCTTTGTCGGTTTTTTGTTTTTAAGGGATCTTTGTTGTTCCATGTCCACGTTATTGTCAAAAATTCATCCTCACTAGTCCCACCCACCACGGAGCCACAACTGGGATGCCGATACCAAAAATCGTGGCACCAGAATTATGGTGAGGATATAGGTGCACAGAGTTTTCCTCCCTGCGCGACATCGGGAACTGTAGCTGCATAACTGGTGGTCGATCCCAACCACCAGTGATTCCATGCAACCTTGCTCCGTCAGCATGGCCGGAGTCCATCGCTAGATGTTAAGAGCGACCCCCATGCCGCTCGCCGACGACCCATAGACGGTAGACGCCTTGACCGTTGCCGCGTGGTCGGCTACACCACGAGGTTGCCGTCTCGCTGGAAATCCGGGCCAAAGTGCTGTGTTGCTTCCGAGGTGCCGCAGCTACCCTTTCCGCTCAAACACCAGGATCCCTTCATCCCCGCTCACGGCGATACTGCGCAGGTCCTAGCGCAGGAGAGGCTGAAGTACCACCAGGCCTCCCCCCTATTCCTGGTGGATGGGGGAGAAGTCGTCTGACTGTTTCAGTACGTCTGTTTCATAGGGAATCAGACCAATAACAGGCGGCAACCACGTCTTATAAATATATTTTCACTTAATTTTTGTTTTGAGTAATGATCGAAATAGACCTTTATCAAAAAGGTCTAGTTAGGTAGTTTTTTGTCCTATTATTTATTGATCGCAGCGCCGATAGTGATTATTTCCTCCATCCTTTGGTTTTATGAGAGCCATGTAGATGTCGCCGCCACAAAAGTATCACACCCAGTTTAACTCTCATCCCCTTGAGAATGTATTTCCAAAAATGCTGAAAAGGATAACTTTTAAAGACACTTCATAAGCAATGTTGATACAATTTTATAATTCTAAGTTAAGAAATGACGAAGTTTTCTACTTCAATTTCCTTCTTCTTCTTCTGTACGGTGGGTGTTTTCCGCAACTCGATCCGCATCGGAAATCGTGAAAATTTTACAGAATTGCCTCGCTGGTGCCTATTTTGCGTGAGAGGATGGCTTTAGTCATGCACTCCTAACTACTTCAATTTCCTAATACATTATTAGCTCAGGGGTTGTAGGTTTAAAAAATGAAATTATGTAACAGTAATAGCCTGGGCAAACGAGGGACTTTTGTCTATATTCCGAGATTACGTTGCGTCGTTGTAGTAATCAGAAATCAATATATCTTTATTCAAATTGGATGTATAGTACAACTCTTATGAATCGCCCAAATTTTTTTCCCTACCACTCGTTATGGACATATTTTTTAGCTGCGGAGAAAAACGAGCGAAAAAAACTCCACAACATTAAAAGTCTAATGTAACAACATTTACAATTCATTATGTTGTTACAACGTCAATACAATTATGATTTATTTAATATAGAAAACCTGTTGGAATGATTGGAACAGTTCAAACCCAAGCATTTTTGTCTGTAATATAGACACTTTATAATAAGCTTTTTAAATAAGTGCTTTTTTTATATTATCTTTAAATTTATTTATGGTTAACACTTGGATATTGCTTGGGACTTTATTGTATAAGCGAACACAAAGTACTTTAAATGAATTATTAATTTTGTGAAGCCTAGTAGCAGGTAAAGTTAGTTTATTTTTGTTTTTTGTATTAAGTGTGTGAACGTCACTGTTTTTAAGAAACAAATTAATATTTTTTCTTACAAGTAATAAATTTTCGTAATGTATTGTGATGCGACCGTCATTATTCCAAATTCTTTAAACTTATCTCTTAACGATTCTTTAACTTTAAGATTATAAATTGATCGAATAGCCCTCTTCTGCAGCACAAAAATAGTTTATTTTTAGTCAACGTCAAGTTCAAAAACGCTTTAAAAAAATACTGAATCCATTCTTTTCGGATCGATTGTGCAACACAGACTAAAGTTCGCTGTCTGCGTTGATGCACCTTGTCACACGAGTAATTTTTTTCTGGGACTCCCATGTACTGCCCGATCTCTCGGTGTCCTTGGTGGTTCCGGGGACTTTTTTGTGTACGCCGGACTTTTAATTCCTCGTGTGTGTTACTCGATGCAGTTGGTTGTAAGCGATCTTTTGGCGGACAAAAAAGTACCTCGTCTGCGGAAGCCATTAACAATTAATAACAACTAACTGATTATACAATTTGTAATTTTTTGTTTATCTTCAAAATTGATCATACAGAGTTACTGTCCCTATTTTTGCCTTTAGGGGGATGAATTCCGCAAATCTTCTTAGTGGTCACTTATGTCATATAGAAAAAATCTCTGTGCGAAATTTTACGTTTCTACTTAGCAGTTTCGACCGACCATTCCATCTTAAATTATAACAAATTATTTTATGAACTCTAAAATTTTTGTATTTACTATATTAAGTTTATAAAATGATGAAAAGAATTATTTTTCAAATGATTACTGCGATAAAATATACTGTTCAAATATGTTTTGTCAGTAGTTAAAGCCTTTATTATCGCCGCCGCCGTCCGTTGTAATGTTTATCCTAGTTTTAACTTAGCACGGGCTGGTAATTAACACAATCCGAATTGAGTACACTGCTAGCTATGCGATACGATAAAACTTATATACTGCAACTTCAGTTCCTGTAGCTTAGCACCACAATTAACATTATAACACGTTTTTATCGCGTCTATCATTGTCATCATAGTCATATCATACTCCATAGTAATTTCTCAATCGAGCGTGATAAAAGCTAGTTATAGGTATATCATATCGCGGTGGTCATGCTAGGGGGCAGAGTAAGTGCAGGAAAAGCGCTTAACTACATTCATCAGCTCAAAAGGGATTCTATAAATAATTTTTTTAAAACAGTTTGGTTTCACTAGAAGCAAAAGTACTACTGATGCTGGAACTGCACTTCTCAAACACATTTTTGATAAAAAACACGACGCTATTGGCATTTTTTGCGACTAATCAAAGGCGTTTGACTGCGTTAGCCATGAGACATTGTTTAATAAAATGTAGCATTATGGTGTATCGAATATGTCACTAAATCTGATACAGTCTTATCTTTCTGCTAGGATTCAGAAAGTAGTTATAAATGAAGCAGGAGCACCCATTTCTATGGGCGTGCCCTAGGGTTCAATATGGGGCCCATTGGTTTTCCTTATATGTATCAACGACCTTCCTCACTTTACAAGAGATTTATATATAAAAATATAAAAAAAAACAGCCCTTACTGCGTTTCTTGCCGGTTCTTCTGAGTACAAGGTCTCCCGCCGTAGTTTTGCGAGCCGAGGGCGTAACGTCTCGACCTTCACAAGTACTTGTAACAGCCACAGTTTAATTAAATTTGTGTATTTTAACTAGCTATGTCTTAGAAAAAAGTGATTTGAATAATCTGACAGAATCAAGAAATGGGTAACCAAGTATTCTCATCTATCAATATTATTAACCATAACAAAAGAAGCTTTCCTTGTTTCTCTTTAGGTACATCCGTTGACATGTTCCTAATCTACGACATGGATTTGATGCGGTTATCAGTATCGAAATTTTACCGTCTAACTGTGGCCACAATTCCAACACGTACAAAGAAATTTGGTCTCATTTCTTTGCCGCACTATCCGTAAATGGAATGCTCTGCCCGCTCACGTGTTCCCTCCCTGTTACAACCTGGGATCCTTTAAAAGAGGCGTGAAGAAGCAACATGCAGGCAGGCAGGGTGAGGGTGGCTGGTGTGGCATGTAGAACTACTGTATCAGCTATCTTCGCTTCTGAACTTCACCGTCACCTAACATCAGGTGGGGTGGAGTCATTTGTCGGACCTATCTATAAAAAAAATCACTTCGACATTTTTACGCTCCCCGAACTTAGAGCAATGTTCATCTTATTAATTCATTAGGTCACGAAGAATAAGCTTGGATTAGATACTGTATGCTTTGTCTCTGTTCATTGAATTACAAATGGCACTTGAGTGATAAGAACAAAACGACGTAATTAGTCTAAGCATATTCCTCGTTCATTAATAAGGGGTGAGAGTCTAAAAACGAAAACAATAAAGAATAATCTACCGGGAGCTGATCTAGGAAGGGACACTATGCTTATAATGAAATGAAATGAAAAATTCTTTATTGGCCATCATAAACATAGAATATGACAAAAATAAAACTTAATCTATAGACGGCCAACCAGGACCCTGCCTCAGCATAAGCTGACATATTGAGAAAAGAAATAACTTCTCTCACCATGTCGGCGCTGTTATTCTGGCAGGGCCTGTGCAAGGTCGCTTTAATGGATTGTATAACATTCAAAAACCCAGTAAACACTTAAAACAGAACAATAAGAAAAAACCCACTTCCCCATAGAGTACGTATATAATATTTATTAATATAAAGAAAATTATAATTAGTCGTATAATGTAATTTATACATAAATTTGTTTAAGTATATAATGTAAATAAACCATGTACCCGAAGTTAAGTATTTAATTTACACTGTCACAAGGACTTATGTCAAAACTCGTTGACTGCGCTCGAGTGCATTATAAACTTTCGAAGGCTCTGTCAAAGTTTAGTGTGAGTTTGCTGGCTACTTAGTTATTTTTGCTTATCGCAAAACGATATCGCATTACTATTGTGCCGAAACGGTTTCAAATTTCGTTTACAGTTAAACATTAAAATTACTTATAGCCTTGTATAGCATATCTCGCATTACATATTTGTCATGCCAAGAGTAGCTAAGCATGTTACATTTATTCATTAGTACCACGTTAGCCTTATTGTGGCTCATTCGTGTATTACCTATTTGTTTTTTCTCTAAGCGTTTTAATTTCTTGGAGGTTATTTTATGAAGTGCTAATCTAGACTTTGTGTGCACGCAATAAAGATTAGGTGGGATATATAAATTGCGATCGGTGTGTTTTTGTGGATTTGTATTTGAAATGAGCGGTGTAATTTGCAGTGAACACATTACGAGCATGATAGGTAATGCCTGTTATTGGTGCTGTGTTGTGTTGTTATTTATCAATTGGTGCTCATCCGATTGTTTCACTCATATTTTGTTTGTGATCGATATCTTTGCTAGTTGGCATTTAAGCGTTGCGATATCTGATATTAATTGGAAACAATTAAGATCCGGTTTTGTAGGTTTTCCAGATTTATATAAGTAATATCTTAGGAATTTAGGGTTGTGGGCAATTTGCTGCAAGGCAGCGCCATCTCATTAAGGCTAGGAAAATTTCGACGCGGCTAATAGGGCCGTGGTAGCATAATGGTCAGTGCATTCGCCCGGATAGCGAAGGATGCGGGTTCGAGTCCCGTCCGCTGCCTGGTCCGCGTGGATTTTTTTCTAGTAAACTTTTCTTTAGTTCCTTTGTTTTTCAGGTCGACCTAGGGAAAGTAGACTCAGGCGGATATCAAAGAAAGTCTGCAGCTCAGAGTCTTGGAGAAGAAGACTACCAATCACAATATGGTTGCCGAAATACAATATCGACTATCTCATACGGGATATAATAGCTGGTGAGTGAGTGGTCCTTATGGATTTATGTGAATTTAGTTACCAAGAAAGATAGCAGCTGTATGCATTATAGGTTTGGTAGAGTTTAAAATGTACCTACGGCAACGTGAGCTAAAACATAGGGATGTGCTTAATTCCTAAACGTTCTGTTTTCTTCGCCTTAGTTGGGTAAAAAAAAATGTTGAAATGCCACATTTGGCATTGATTGAGTCTAAGAAGTGGTACGGAATCATTAGTGACAGATTTCTCAGCTAATATGCTTCGTCCGTTGCTAGGCTATTACCACAGAACATAGAAAGAGGTTATAAGAGTGATTATAGACCGTATGTACGGGAACCGATGTCGCCGGCTCGCCCCCACTACACTTCCATCTAATCGATAATAGCCAATCAAATGTCGGGACAACAAACAATTGAACCAATCAGCGCTTACAGCTGAGAACAACGACGCAATCATAACCAAGTTTTGGTCAAGTTATGACCATTTGTTAACACATAAATGTGGCGCGCCTGCCCCGCCCACTAGGCCCATCTAACCTCTTTCTGTGTTCAGTGGCTTTAACTATATCAACACCGGAAAGATAGCAGCTAACGTTTGCTATGTATTTTTTCGTTCCCAGTCCAACTTGGTAGAATTTTAACTTAGCAGACAAATCCTATAATACCTATGCATATTGCAGGGATATTTATTAAATATATGTGTATATCTTGCAGGTGTGACTGTTGGACTGACCTCGATTCCACAAGGTATAGCTTACGCTATCATAGCCGGAGTACCACCTCAGGTAAGTTCTGAATTCTAGCTTTTAAAATCATTTTGCTTAGCCCGTCAATTCGCCAGATTATGAAAGTGGCACCTTTTCTATCTTCACGTATCATTACCAGGATGTTCATGTCCCCACTTCTGGGGCCTTTCCTATAGATGGAATAGGCAAAACGGGCCATACCCACCACAAGGGCCGAGTGCTAATTCTTCATTTTATAAGCGTCTCTATTGCTAAAGATTGGCGGTCAGTTCAGTCACACAAAAACACGCACACGCGCGCACACACACAATCACAGACACACATATACACACTCGCATACATACATACACAAACACACACACATTTTATTTTTATTATAATGTTATTATTTGTTTCTCAAGTATACTTATATGTTATACTATGCCTCTATGTTTTGATTTTTTGTAAATGCTTTTTAAATCTACACAAAAGTCGTCTTTACTGGTGATAAAAATTTGTTTATTTTTAGTCTTTTCGAGGGCTTCTAGTTTCTTTGAAACACAAGTTATCGAAAAAAGGAAGATTTAGGAGCAAAGAATAAGTACAATTATATTAAACTAGCTGAGCCAGCGAACTTCGTACCGCCCTAAAAAAATAGGGGTTGTCCAGCGGACAAAATTGTGAATCTAAACCATTCTCAGATCCCCTTGAACACACACAAAAAATTTCATCAAAATCGGTCCAGTCGTTTAAGAGAAGTTCAGTGACATACACACTCACAGAAGAATTATATATATAAAGATGTACGAAAATCAATTCTTTAGTGACAGAAATCAAGGAGGAATCAGTCGAGAACGTTTGTATGGAAAAAACATTGCCCGCCTCCCCTCTTAACGTATAGATCGCGCCAATCTTTGAGTCCGCTCTGAACACTGCACAATTCGCGTCGAAGTAACAAATGACTCGTATTTAAAGGGACGAAGGTTCTGTTTAGGGCTGAACACCTGCGAGAAGAAACAACTTCAGAGCGGACTAGAAGTTTGGCGCGAACTATACCTTCCGAAGCACCGGAGGAACTGAAGATAATAAATTTTGAGTCACCCATCCAATGACCGATCGCAAACCGTACGCGCTAACCATTTGCGCTATAGTGGTTATTATTCAAGCATTTTTAACTACTAAATTGTAAGTTAAATGTGAAGAAATGGCGAAGGAATATTAGAAGAAATTGAACGAGTCCATTGGTCCTAATGTATGAAAGAAAATCTTTACATTTATAGGTTTAATTTTTTATTATTATTTAATAATTGTCTATCCACGAATATTTCATTCTACTATTTTAGGTGGGTCTGTATTCGAGCATTTTCCCTGGTGTAGTGTACATGCTGTTCGGCAGTTGTAAGGACGTGACAGTTGGTCCTACCGCCATTTTGGCCGCGCTGTTGGCCAAATACGTTGCCTACTCTGTGGACTTTGCATATTTGGCTGCATTCCTGTCTGGGTGCTGCATACTGCTGCTTGGAGTGTTACAGCTAGGTGAGTCATCATATATATAATCGTCATTATCCTTAGCCTATTAATGTCCCCAATGCTGGGACATAGGCTTTCCCTAGATTGGGCTATCGCCTACCTCGCGAGCCCAATGCGTATTGGTAGGTGCTAAAGACTGCAGATGCATCCGGGACGTGCCTTCAGAAGCACGGAGGACTTCGAGATGATATTTATTTTTGTCTCCTTGTCCTATGACCGGCGAATATGAAAGTTTCACGATCGCAGACTGAATAGCTGACGCACTGCAGTAACCAGCTTCTCGATCTTCATCCAGATCAACGATATCATCATATCGTACTAGCAACTAATGTTCGTTGATATTGTAAAAAAATTACCTCTGATGATAGCAACCTTGCACAAGACTACAGCCAAAAAGTAACACAGTAAAAATGGATGCGTGTAACTTATGTACGCGCGTGAGAAGTTATACTTCTTTAGCATCATTAAAAATATTTTTTAATTGCATGCAAATAATTAATAATTACAATAAAATAATAAAAGGACAGGAAAAGGATAGTTAACACAGTCAATTAAGTTCAGTTTTAATTTGAAAAATTAAATAAATATTCAAAATATTCAATTAAAATCACTACTGAATTTAAGTTATTAGTCCATATGTAATTAGCACTTGTAAGTAACTAAAACACGTTGTGTCTATATAGAAACTAGAATCATGTGGATAAATATTATAAATATGAAAACAGTGATCAGAGGCGACGAGCGTGCCAACATTGTTTTTGACAACGCGATCATCTTAAGGAGCTCCGTGGATCGTTCAAAGTACCTTTCGAACAGATGTCTAATAATGGTGGATTATTAACCACTAAGTGGTTAATAATCCACCATTATTAGACACTAACATTCATAACGCGCCCGCGGCCAACTTCATGGTGTTACTATTGTGTTACAGTGATGCGCGCGCATCTCGAAATTTCACTCACATGATTTTTACATAACGCGCCCGCGGCCAACTTCATGCTGTTACTTTTGGGTTACAGTGATGCGCGCGCATCTAAAAATTTCACTCTCATCATTTTTTCATAACGCGCCTAAAGAAGTATAACTTCAATAATATACCATGCTATCAGAATCGTCACAAGTTATAACACCCCCGGTGCGACACTGTTACTTAAAAATCATTTTTTCAGGAGAAGCGTTTAAAACTTTAACATTCCAAAACATACAATATTTATTTATTTTTTATTTTTTTTAAGATGAATAACTAAGCAGTATAAGCTTTTCATCACAAAAAAATCTTTGTAGTGTCCCACCGGGGCGGGGGTGCGTATTGTATTCAGGTGACATCGTTGCTTATATCTAATACACACTTGTCAATTAAAATACGTACATTTAAACTTTATGAATCCTTTTTTTAATTTAGGTAGCAAGGTCCAAAAGATCGGAGACTACAAATTGGATTAGGTAATAAAGGTTGGTTGCCATCTGCAGACGGGACCAACAGTTAAACGTGCCTTCTGAAGTCTGTACTTCAGAAGCTCCTCTGTAGGAGCTCGAGATAGAAATTATTGTCATCCACCCTATGAGCGGCTAATGCGAAAACTGCATTGATTTTTTTCTTCATCCCGTTCAGGACATGTTTTATGTGCCAACAAGAACGGTTCATACAATTGAAATAGCTACCTTTTTCTGATTAGAAACATTTTTCATTGTTCGTACTTTGTGCCAGGATTCCTCCTCGACTTCATATCTAAGCCCGTGATCAGTGGGTTCACGACGGCAGCCGCGTTGCAGATTGCTGCTACGCAGTTGAAGGGCTTGTTTAGGATATCAGGTAAGGCCATATAGTTGATAACATTAAGACACATAGAAACATGCATGCTTTCGTACTATAGTTCTTTCTTACTCCTCGTTTCCACCAAGAAACAAGTCATACCGACGTCTCGACGTGCCTTCAGAAGCACGGAGGAGTTCGAGATAATATTGTATATATATATATATATATATATATATATTATATACATATATATATAATGTTTTAAACAAAACTTGTAGAATACTTGTTGTGGTTGTTTAAATCATTATTTCGTTAACACTGCATAGACAACGAGTATCTTGGGCCATGACCCACCACGCGGGCCAAGTGCGGATTGGCGGGTGCTAACGATTGCAGGCGCAGCCGGGACCAACGGCTAAAAAAATTTAATTAAGGCACGTGCCTTCCGAAGCACGGAGAAACTCGAGATAGAAGATTTTGGGTCACCCATCCAATGACTGACCACGGCGAAAGTTTCTTAACTTCAACGATCGCAGCCGAACGCGCTAACCACCCGCGCCAACGAGCTCCTCCTTCTAGTAAGTACTAGGAAGCAATAATTTAGTGTAAAAAAATCAACAGCATCGAGTATTAGGCGGGTTAGATGAAAAAATACTTAAAGCTGATTATTTAATATTCTTTTCAGGTTCCTCCGGTCACACGTTTGTGAGCGCACTGATCAATTTCTTCTCTAACATCACAACAGTTCAACTGTGGGACACTGTGCTTGGAATCGCTACTATCATAAGCCTTCTTGTACTTAAAGTAAGTCGAATTCATACTATTCCATGATAATATTAATTATAAATGCCAAAGTGTGTATGTCTGTGTGTCTGTTACCTCTTCACGCTTGTAATCTGACGGACTCAAATGTGGACTCGAGGAGGGCCAGTCTTCATGCCGGGTGAAGTCGATTTCTCACAGATTTTCTGAGTCTTGTATGCTCTTCGCTCTATGAGCTGGCGCCGAATCTTGTTGGAATACCCAGTGCCTGTTATTGAACATGGTATAAGAAACTGGTTCCACAAGGTTCGTCAGGACTGTATTTTGATACACAACTGCATTCGTTTTTACACCTTTCTCACAAAAATGTACCTCTGTTAAGCCCCAATAAAAAAATCCCAACCATACCATGAGCGAGGATGGATAGCAAGATATGGTAACACTTGGAGGAAAAGGCGTGCTCAAAGCCTCATCCCAATTTGGATTCACTCAAGACCTCCTTGATTAAGGCAGCCGCCGATATTGACATGGACCTCGTTCGTGCTGCGATAGACGACTGGCCGCGCAGATTGAAGGCCTGTATTCAAAATCACGGAGGTCATTTTGAATAAACTTTATTGTCATAAGAATCTATGTTTTGTTAAGTTCATTTTGGTATATAAATCGTCACATAATGAATAAACTTGTTTCAATTATTTTATATTAATCATATGACAGAATTTATGACCTGACTAGGTATATAGATCTATTATTAAATCATTATATTTTTTTTGACATTGTGGGTTACCTACAATGCGAAGAGATGGCGCTGCCTTGCAGCATCAGGGCCGCGGTAGCATAATGGTCAGTGCATTCGCCCGGATAGCGAATGGTGGTGGTTCGAATCCCGCCTGCTGCCTCGTCCGCGTGAAATTATTTCTAACAATATTTTCTTTAGATTTTATGTATCATGTTTATTATAAGTCTCTGTTACTTAAAATAAATAAATTAAAATTAATTATTCGTTCTCCCAGCGTCTAGTGTTGCCAGTATCCGCCACGTCATCGCATTGCCGCGTGGTCACCGCTCGCATCTGGCAATACTTTGTTCGCGCTCGGAACGCGCTGGTTGTGTTCGCTTGCACTATACTGGCGTATATACTTCATCTGTATGGAAGAACACCATTCGCTCTAACCGGTGAGTTCTTGAGTGTGTATGGTGTTGGTCGCAGATGACCTTTACAGCGTCACCGGGTTTGGGGACGGCGAGGTTCCTAAGGGGACCTTAAGCCGAGAATTAGCGAGTGCCTCTAGAGGTATTCCAGGCGGATGGCATCTCCCCGGGGAAGTCTCCTCCCCGCCTGGAGCCTCTAGACCACTCGAACCTGAGGGGGAATTAACCGGTGAGTGATTACTGTGAATATGCTATTTGACAGTATGAAAAATATTGTACCAAATTATTGGCATCTGTATCACTAAATAGTTTGTACTACATAGTTCACTTTCTCTGTCCCTATGTCCCTTTGTATGCTTAAATCTTTGAAACTACGCAACGGATTTTTATGCGGTTTTTTTAATAGATAGAGTGATTCAAGAGGAAGGTTTATATGTATAATACATGCATAATATAGTAGAGAAACACTGATAATTTTAGAGGTTTTTAATATAAGGTCGTAAATAAACACATTTTTTTGCGCTTACATTGCAAACGCTTGCTGAACCTAACGAGATAGATCAAAATAATGTACTACAGTATTGTACACCTTAAAAAGGTCTACAAAAAAGTCCGCGATGGTATATGCCTATCTCTTTGGTATACCCCACAATAACCATTTTTTAATTACTTATTACGAGAAAATAATGGCTTATTTACGAACAAGCGATTTTAAGCAATACAGCATTAATCCTTATCCAATTAAGTACCTTAAATACATTTTGCGTGTAATATAGATCAATATAACCCTCTACAGCATGTAATTTAAATGAATATTTTCGAAGATATTACAGATTTAAAATGCAGGAACATACCGGTTCGGGCAGTACTGGCCGGGGGGCCGGCGGCGGCGCGTTTCTTTAGTAATTAGGTATTTAAAGAAAGTCATTGTGAGAACAAAAATATAATCTAAACTACAGCTCTACACCGAACTGAAGCGAGGGCGGGCCACTAGTTTAATTATAAATATTAGCAGGAATTTTACTATTATGAAAGAACAAATAATTAATAACTTTTCTAGAAAAGCGTTAAATGGAAATGGTTTTTTTTTGGCTACATGATCACGTGTCTGAAAACGTCTGGGATTGGCCAAGACTAATATGTGTGCCCAGACTGACCCCACTCCCGCACACATGAATCCCCAATATGACCCACCAATCCCCTATTATTACCCATCAATTTGACGATCTCCGTGGCCGAGTGGTTTGTACGCCGGGTTTCATGGTGTCGCCGACTCGAGAGGTCCCGGGTTCGAATCCTGGTGGGGGCAGATGTTTGTGTGATGAATACGAGCATTTGTACTCCAGTCATGGATGTTTAATATGTATTTCTACATAAAATTATACTTATATATGTACAGTATATGTATTCTATCCGTTACCCTAGTATCCCATAACACAAGCCTTACAGTGCTTACTTTGGGGCTAGGCTAATTGGTGTGAGTGTTGGAAATATTTATTTATTTTCCCAACCAATCCCTTTTCCCTCTCCAATCCCCTTTTCACCTACCAATCTCCTTAACTCAAAAAAGGATAGTTTAAGTTATTTTTAAATTAACTTTTGTGTCTTGTACGTTAGGTAAGATCCATGGCGGTCTGCCACATTTCGGTCCGCCTCCGTTCAGCACTCGCGTCGCCAACGAGACGATAGGATTCGAAGGAATGCTGTCTGTGTTCGGTGCTGAAGGCTTCGTCATGCCCCTGGTCGCCATATTGGAGAGTATCGCAATTGCTAAGGCTTTTGGTGAGAATATTTTAGAAGTATTACATTTGAGGAGCTGGCGAACAAAACAGTATAATAACATAAAATTAAATTTTACAGGAGCAGTAAAAAACTGAGTGACATACCTACTGTAAGCTTTTGGCGTGGTTTCTAATTTATTAATTAAGTAATTTTAATACAATTTTAGTCGGTTTTGTTTGAAAATGCGTTCAAATTCAATTTCAGAGGGCCAAAAACCTCCGGACCGTAAAAAAAGTATTTTGATCATATGCGATCTTATACGGTTTTGTTCGCCAGCTCCTCATTTATCATTTTTAACTTTAACGAAAGGGAAACAGACATTGAACTTAGGAAAAACAAATACTTAAATAATCAAGAATGAAACACAAACAGAGCGTAAGTCATCTCTTGTGTATTTTTAATGTTTTATAGGTACAGTGTTATCAGATATGCATATTTACGAATGTGATAACACAAGTCAACTGCAAATAGTTTTATTAAAACTTAGTGTTACAAGTATGCAAATATTATAAATATTTTATTTTATTTTCATATACATTTACTACAATACACCACTTTAAAACTTGTAAAATGTCAGTTATAATGATAAAAAAAGTCTCATGGGCACAGGCCTTCCCTATGGATGGAATAGAGAGATTGGGCCATGACCCACCACGCGGGCCCAGTGCGGATTGGTGGGTGCTAACGACTGCAGATGCAGCCGGGACCAACGGCTCAACGTGCCTTCTGAAGCACGGAGGAACTCGAGATAGAAGATTTTTGGTCACATTATCCGGGATAAACTCAAAAAGTACTGCATTGATTTACTTCAAAGGACAATGGTCAAATTGGGCCTAATGACCAATACACATGAGATATTATTTTTATGATAGGTCATAACACACAACTAACGAGAAAATTAATAAAAAAATTAAATGTACCGGGTTCTTGTACAGTTACGTCGAAAAGTTTTATTTAATTATGTCAAATATTTTTCAATTATTAAATGTTTTTCAATAGGAGTGAAAGAATATTACTTTAAAATAATGACTAAAGTCACTATTTCTAACCACATAGAGCCACATGGGATCATAATAACACAATATACCTGTTACAAAAATAAGAATAAGCGTATTTCGACTATTAGAGGACGTAATAAAAGTTCTATGTACCTATGCGAGAGTGAATTGCTACATATTAAGTGACAGAGACCAAACTGGCATCAGCTCTATTTTACAATATTATTGTATTTGTCTGACCGGAAGTCGTACGCTGGGAAGCTGTGCGCACATTTTATCCGTAGTTTGGTATATGAGCTTAGCTAGATACGAAGGATTTAACCCTCCCGCCGCATTTTTAGATTCTACTATTCTGGATATAGACTAATGTAAAAAAAACTTGTTGTTTCATTTATTGTATTTATATTATTTATTTATTGTATATTATACGTAGTTGTCGATGGATGTCGTAAGAGGCGTTTTAAATTGCAAATATTGCAATCAACAGCATTTGGGAGTGGCTCCAGTGCTCTTTTAGGGTAATATTCCTTCATTCGTATTGAAAAACAATTATTAATTGCAAAATATTTAACTTAAATAAATAAAACTTTTCGACGTGACTGTACAACAACCCTTTACATTTTTTTTTTACTATTTTTCTCGTCAGTTGTGTGTTATGACCTATCGCAAGAACAATATCTCATGTGTATTGGTCAGCAGGCCCAACTCCCATAGTGTTTTGCCCATTGTCCTTTGGCACGAATATTATTAAGAAGTCTAGCTACATATAGGCTACATATTATCACGCTATCACCTACGGGGAACGAGCAGTGAACCTTTATTTCTAACTAACTCCACGCGTACGAAGTCGCGGGCGGCCTTTAGTTTGTTAAATAAATGTATTATAACTTGGTGTAAACGAGGGGTGAGAAATACTGAAATCAGCATTGTGATTTTTTTTTCAAATAAAATTATGTTATTCAACCAGTTAAATAATTGTTTCAGCGGGCAGCACATCCGTGGACGGCAGCCAAGAGATGTTGGCTATAGGATTCTGCAATATGTTGTCTTCGTTCTGCCAGTGTATGCCTTCCACCGGATCCTTCACCCGGACGGCCCTGAACCACGCCAGTGGTGTCGTCACCCCGGCCGGGTCATTGTTCAAAGGTGACAATTCATACAACATGAATTTTGAGTTTTTTTTTGTTTTAAAGGACTTTCGTACCAAATTGTCCATACCAGCCCCATCGTAACCTGGCCATACAATTTTCTTAAAATTTCATAATTATTACATAACATTTTTGCTACGATATTGCAAAGCACACCAGCCTCCTCCGATAGGGGGTTGGCTAGTATTTTCGTTTTTCGATATATCGATAAGTAAACTTTAAATCTCGTCATGTTCTAAATTGACAGTTGGATGTGGTTTCATTGTTTTGTTAAAAAGTTCATTTTACAATTTTTTGTGGCTATAATTTTTGTAATATACAACTCGGCATCAATAAAATGTGAGTGAAGAATTAATCATCCCCTGTTTTCATACCCTTAGGGTTGGATTTTTTTCCCAATTCATATGGGACCAACTTCAGGGTATACGGTAAACGTGACTACGTTTTTTTACAATTTACATAGTTTTTACAAGTATGAATGTACTTTGAGCAATTGTTTTACAACTTTTAAACATTTGTGATATCATTACCTTTAACGCCACAATTATCGTTGCTATAAACAATTGACACCACATTCACTTTTCACTGCACTTCATACTTGACGAAAACATGTAAATGTATTATTGTATAGCATCTGTCCATGCGAACGCATCGCTCACTCAAGTAGGAGAGGATAGATGTCGAACGCTGCCAAACGCGGAGGCCGATTGTGCCTTTTTGTCGCTCGTTGCGCGCTCTCGCTTGCACTTCAAGCCTTAAATGGAACGCCTCAGAGCGAGGTAACGCCGCATGAGTCATGTTTTTTCGTGCGTGCAGCCGGCTCCATCGAATTATAAGACGTCACGTCAAAAATAATTATCCAAATCGGAGTACTATGTAAAAAGTTATACTTGGTTATATATAAAAAAGAAACAAATATACGCGTCGACATGAGAACCTCCTCCGTTTTTTCGTCGTTTAAAAAACTAGTGCGTGCAGACTATCTGACAATCTAATATTTCTCTTTAGTTATACCATCTTATTTAGTAATTCCAACTAATTTAGTGTATGTTTATGAATTTATATATATATATATATATATATATATATATGTGTATTTATATATAATATTAATTGTTTTATAGTATAGTTCAGTAGATTTTTTTTATCTCTAACTTTAGTAGCTCGCACTCTATTGGTCAAAACATCGCTCTCATACACACATACTGGTTGACTTGTAGAGAATGCCTATGGCATTAAGTCGGCCATTTACTGTCTTTTGGTAATAAGTGATAATTAAATAAATAAATACCAATATATGTACTTAAAGAATAAATAAAAACTAATCTCTGGGTTCAAATGCCATTTAAATGAAAGCTTGTTTTTAAAATAAACTTAATTCTATTTATCATTTCTAAACAACGTCAATGTCCATTGTTCCAGCGTCACTAGTGTTGCTATCGGTGACTCTACTCACCGATGCGTTTTACTTCATTCCGCGGTCGACGCTAGCGGCCATCATTATGGTGGCCATGTCGTCACTCATAGATCTCAAGATTATCAAGCAACTGTGGAGGAACTGTAGTAAGTATCTGACTAAAGATCACATTAATCAGATTACAGGCACATAGATATAGTGAGTTGTTTTTACTCAACGATATTAAATACCCTAGATACACCACGTGCGCTCAAAATGTGTCCCAATCAAGAAGTGCTTGAACTCCACTCAAGCACTTCTTTGTTCACAGTCACGCGCGGACCGTTGAAAAGTCAAGATGCCGCAGAGCTCCGTAAAAAAAATGTTTATAGTACGTAATGTGTCGTTTTTTCGACAGGTATCTAATTAATGTTTGTTAATTTAACGTATTTGAAGCTTTTGTTCTAATACTTACTATTCACTGAAATAATATAAAATATTTGTGATATTCAAATGCATCGACAGATCTACATTTAAATATATATATACGGATATAAATTTTATCCCCATCATCTTGATGCGTGGCTATCCACAGCCGTGCATTTTTGTCGATATAACATACAAAAAATACGTCGCCGTATAGCCGTCTCTTTTCCGTCCGTACCTGCTACATTGCTAACAGCGCATTCAGAATTGCGCGTACAGTTAAAAAGATAAGGTCTATGTTCTTCCACAAATATAAAAATATATAATAAATATAAGCCGTAAATTTTACGAGCTTGCATTTCGAACTGTTGTAAGTCTTTAAAGCATGCGTTTTAATTAAGACCTTATACAGTATGTATTAAAGGTGACTTTCAACGTTTAAATAATGCCTTATATTGTTTTTGACCGTGCGATCATCTTACGGAGCTCCGTGGATCGTCCAATGTACCTTTTGGACAGGGTCTAGGGTATGTAATATCGTTGTTTTTACTGTTTAGTTTCCAACACTTTCAGGACATCTTTTGTCTCACTAGTAAGACGGCAAACTACTATACGGGCGGCAGTCTGGGATAGTTTGTATTGAAATGAAATGAAATTATACTTTATTCAAATTGACTTATTGAAAGCTCTTTAGAATTATCCAAGTTTTTTCCCCACTATTCGCCTGGAGGGACTTTGGATTCAAAAGAATTTGGCAGACCAGAGAGCACTGTTGGGTTTTATGTGGGTAGCCCATCCCTAACAGCCATTGAGCCAGTCCCACAGGCTGCCATAACGCTAAAGTCAAAATTTCTTTATTCACATTGGAATCATAATACAACTCTTTTGAATCTTCCAAATTTTTTGGCCTACGACATGTTACGGACATTTGTAGCCGTGGAAAAAAAAACTGAAGAATAATTTTCACAACATTAAATTTATTAACCATATTTACACAAAAATTATTTTGTTATACTGGCAAAACAAAATCAATTAATTAGATACATTATAGTCATAATTTTTATTATGTTTAAAGCATGTAACTGCTTGATACATTATTCCAAAAATTTCTTTTCTAATAAAATTTTCTATCGATTTAAACATTTAGCAATTAAATGCTTACAACATAATAACAACAATATAACATAATTTAATATATAAATTATTCTGCAATTTTTATATTTTATTAATAGAGCCTTACCTGGTTTAAATAAATTTTAATTTGACTTACATAAAATCCCTTGTATATTGACAAATAATTCCACCATGTAAACGTACAAGGAAAAATATTTCTTTCTTCGAAACCTTAACAACAAATTCTTTTTATATAACCATGATACATCAACACGGTTTCATACAAAGAAGAATAATTCATTTATCGAAACTAGTTACGAAACTACGGTTTTGTAACACGGCCGAAGGGTATCCTACATATCACATTCCCCTTACCTTAAAAGAAGGACATCTTTTAAACTTTGATTAAAACAAGAGGAAGATACGGTACGCTAAAACAAGCATCAAATAAAATATGATCCGACTCAACTACATAAGCAACTCTTACACACGCACACGTCTGTACATAAACATTAATCGAGCGAGCGAGACAAAACTGTACCCCTAGTACGAACCATTATCGAATTCGAATAGTTTGCAAACCGAAATGTCAATGTCATGTATGGAAACTTGAACAGCAGCGGCACAAAGTACGTAACGAGAACTAAAAATCAGTACAGATTTGACAATGACATTTCGGACTCGCAAACGATACGAATTCGATTTTGCTTCGTGCTAAGGGTACTGTACGCTTCAACGCAACGCGAGCGAAACGCGTCTCCGCTTCCGAGTCCGTACGGCTGAGCTGTATTGTTGTAGTTTTCTTGATAACAAATGGCGATTACGTCAATAACATTAACATCAAACAGTGATTTTGAGAAAAAAAAATTTTAAAGTTTTACGAATGAAAAGTGTTGCTGAGGAATTTGATTTTTAACTATTTGTGTTCTTTATAAAAGCATCGAAGGCATTATTTTATCTTTATAACACAGAATAAACGCAATATTGTTATATTGAGTGCACATGCAGCGTGTTTGAATGTCCAATTGTGACTAAAGCGAATTGTGGTCATCCACCACAATTTAAGCTGGTCACTTTTGAGCCGCGAGTGCCGTATCTACCCTTTTTGTTTCAATCTAAGCTTTTAAATCATCTTTCTTGTGTCATAACAGAGCTGCAGTTGATGGTGTATACATCGACCGTTGTGGTGGGTGTGAGCGCTGGATTAGAATACGGCATCGTTGCAGGCGCCGTATTAGATGTAATACGAGCGATGTACATAGTTGCCCGCCCAAATGTCACCACTCACACTTTTAAGGTTGGTACTTTTATTATTAACTAGCTGTCCCAGCGAACTTCATACTGCCATAAAAAAATGGCGGTTGGTGGTGGAAGGATGAAAATTTAAGGTTGTATCTAATTTTGTATGGCGTTTTTTAAAAATAATAACAAATAATTTTATCAAAAAAAAATTAAGGGTGGACCCTTACCTGAAGGGGGATGAAAAATAGATGTTGTCCGATTCTCAGACCTACTGAATAGGCACATAAAATTTTACGAAAATCGGTCGAGCCGTTTCGGAGTAGTTCAATTACGCACACCTTGACACGAGAATTTTATATATTAGAAGATTAATTATGTAAAATTTGGAAGGAAAAACACCTTTGGTTCAGGTCCAGGCTTGGCTTAAATATTATTTAAGTATCTGTTAGCATGTTAGAAAAGACTTAACATTTGAGAATCGATTTCGTAACTAGACATTCATGAGCAGCACCTTAAATGCCTAAATTAAATTAATGATTAGGATCTAAAGACATTTTTTACTAGAAAAAAAACAAGTGTGATTATGACTACACGACTGAAGTGAAACTTCTTTAGCTCCATTTGCATGTATATATACATGTGTGTGTACAATATTTACATATATGTACATATACATATTTCATTTATTAGCTGTAAGAGAAAGAGAGAAAGAAAATGTGCGCGTGCGCACTGCTTTCTCTTGCTTATATCTCCCACTCAACTCTAGCACTCAAAAATTCAACTTAGTTTCAGACAGGACCTACCTGAAAATGTTTCTTTAGATTTATAAATCCAGCACTTAAACGCTTAAAATAAAAAAATACTAATTTTAAAATTTGAATTGTCAACAAGGTGGGAAACAGGGATTGCGTGTGCATCGCCATAGTAGGGCCGCTTTCGTACGCGAGCGCGGAACACGTATCAAGAATGCTGAGACGACACGCACGTACTAATGTAATAGTATTGGACGCGAGACATCTGACTACAGTCGATATTGGCGTGGCCGAGGTGAGTCCTAACCCCTAACCGCCTTATAACAAATCATTGTAAAAAAGTTAAACCTTGTCTATAATTGATGCTGTCATTTTTGTTTGCAACATGGAGGTTAGAGAGAAAGAGAACGATAGCTACGTACTAAAGCATTAGCCCGCTTGTCCCTGAAAAGCTGTAGAATTTATAGTTCATTTTTCAGCCACCAGCTGCGTTGCCGTCGGTAAGTAGTATCTGTGAAGTTAGCTGTTTATGAGTACAAGTAGATGAAGTTAGTTGAATATTGTACAAATTTTCTTCGCGGCATTGGTCATTTCAAATTAGCCCGCTTTTATTGAGACAACTTAGCGATCGCCTCACTTATTTTGTCCATATTTCTGGGACACTATTTTCTACAGCGATCGTTCCCCTTATCTCTAACCTCCATGGTTTGCTAAAAAGAAGACGGACACAACATTAGGTTTAAAACAAGACTAACTTAAGTCCGCGGTTTAGAATAAGGCGGTAGTTGTTCTATAGTACTTTGCGGGTCAAGGCTGCTAGACTGCTCATCAAACGTTTTGCTATCAGTTTGCTGGTAGCCAAGGTTATGACTGATGGAGAGCCTGTCACCAAGAGCACTCTATCAGTACTGATGACTTTTCAGTCATCATCCGTTTTTTTATCATTCATATCATGACTGATAGAATTGACTGACGGCTGTATGAGTGTTTAATCGACGCCTAATAGTGTTGGATACAAAACATCTGACTTGAGTCGATATTAGGGTAACCGAGGTGAGTAACCACGGGTTAAATACAAAGACGTGTTCTAAAGGGGTTTGTTTATCGAAACTGTTGATACTAACGTCATAGTATTGGACGCGGGACACCTGACTGCAGTCAATATTGGTGTGGCCGAGGTGAGTTCTACACACAAAGACTCCTCTTTGTGTGTAGAACATCTCCATGTTCTGTGGGGTTTGTGTATCAATACTGCTGAGATGACACGCGTGTATTATCGTCATAATATTGAACGTAAGACATCTGACTACAGTCGATATTGGCGTGGCCGAGGTGAGTTCTAATCACGGAGCAAACACAAAGAGGAGATGTTCTAAGGGGTTTGTGTATCAATACTGCTGAAATGACATGCGTGTATTATCGTCATAGTATATACGCGAGACATCTGACAACAGTCAATATTGGTGTGGCCGAGGTGAGTTCTAATCACGGAGCAAACACAAAGAGGAGATGTTCTAAGGGGTTTGTGTATCAATACTGCTGAGACGACACGCGTGTATTATCGTCATAGAATTGGACGAGGGACATCTGACTACAGTCGATATTGGTGTGACCGAGGTGAGTTCTAATCGCGGAGTAAATACAAAGAGGAGATATTCTAAGTGGTTTGTGTATCAATACTGCTGAGACGACACACGTGTATTATCGTCATATAATTGGACGAGGGACATCTGACAACAGTCGATATTGGTGTGGCCGAGGTGAGTTCTAATCACATAGTAAACACAAAGAGGAGATTTTCTAAGGGGTTTGTGTATCAATACTGCTGAGACGACACGCGTGTATTATCGTCATATAATTGGACGAGGGACATCTGACTACAGTCGATATTGGTGTAGCCGAGGTGAGTTCTAATCACGGAGCAAACACAAAGAGGAGATGTTCTAAGGGGTTTGTGTATCAATACTGCTGAGATGACATGCGTGTATTGTCTTCATCGAATTGGACGAGGGACATCTGACTACAGTCGATATTGGTGTAGCCAAGGTGAGTTCTAATCGCGGAGCAAACACAAAGAGGAGATGTTCTAAGGGGTTTGTGTATCAATACGGCTGAGACGACACGCGTGTATTATCGTCATAGAAGTGGACGAGGGACATCTGACTACAGTCGATATTGGTGTAGCCGAGGTGAGTTCTAATCACGGAGCAAACACAAAGAGGAGATGTTCTAAGGGGTTTGTGTATCAATACGGCTGAGATGACATGCGTGTAGTATCGTCATAGTATTCATCAAAATTTCATATCTAGCCGTTTAGTAGGGGTTTTCGTTACTTGAATACGGACAGAAGAAATATTTGTAGTAGATTGTTTTCCTGGGCTGCTAAGACTTGTTTTGTTTTTTCTCTCTCTCTAGATAGTTGTCATGCAAGTATCGCTTACTCCATTCAGTATGTCTATGATTTTAAACAATTTCTTTTGTTTTTGATTAGTACCAATTTGTCTACTTTTTACAAACGGTATTTTTTTATTTATTTCAGAATGTTATATCTGTGATATTAGAGTTAGAAAGCAACCACACATTCCTGTTGTGGAACTTCCCGGATAAGATCCGGGCGTTGCTCGAGGATTTACACACGGGCTTTGGCAGTCGCTTCGTCACCGGACCGAGTATAGATCAACATATATTAGGTATGTAGTAAATAAGGAATAAAGGAAATGTTTAATTTTATACCAAGAACTTACAAAAATCCAAAAATAATAAAAGTACGTACACAAATCGAAAAATAATAAAAATACTTACAGAAATCCAAAAATAATAAAAATATGTACACAAATCCAAAAAGAATAAAAATTTACCTGGTTTTTGTTTTATAGCCTTTTGAATTTTTGTTTTATTGCAATTTACTTTATTGTTTTCTTGTAAAACTTGAAATTAGAGAAATGCTTCCATCTTACGCCCCTAACGTCAAAAAAGTGTTACAGAAGAGTCTGTAGTAGTGCCAGTTTCAGTAATGAATCCAAACTGGCTGTAATGCATTATATTGTTTACTGAATATACGGTGATAGATAACCCAGTAAAAAAAATTTGAAAAATATGTACTTAATGCTGTAACTTGGTCCGAAATTAGTGGGAGCCTTTTCCTCCAGATAAAAAAAATGGAATTATGTAATTTCTTTATTTATCAAGTCTGGAAAAGGACTTTTTGGCGGGATCGGAAAGAGTCACTTTAGCAGTTATGTTTTTCTTGTTAAAAAATGTGTTGTGGCGGTTGTTAGTGTCTAATAATGGTGGATTATTAACCACTAAGTGTTCGGGAACATACACAAGTGTTGGCAAGTGAAACAAAATAGCGGAAGGTGTCTTTCGACGTTCCCTCAAGAAGTCCACGGGGAGGTTACAGTAAATCCCCACACATTTACTGAAACATAGGGAAAGGGGGATTGACTTGACTGCCACTTACTTTGACTTGATTTATTACTTTGACCAGGAGTGCCATAGAATTTGTAAACATTTTTAACACTTGACATAAGGAAAAAAAAAGTCTGCAAATATCTCCCACCGATGCATTTTTGTTTCTTACTGAATTATCACATACATAGCTAACTTCGGAGTTACTGAGTTGCCAAATTCCGTTATGCGATCTGATGCATTTTCATGTAAATTGTATTCGTGCTGATGTTATAGCTGGTAAACAGAAGCGATGAATTTTGTTAATGTTCGATTATTTAAAAGTAGTAGTTTTATTGAATATGCATGTTATCTTTTTTTTCAGGATTAGACATCGAGAGAAGAGATCATGTGTATTAATTTATAATGACTAGTAATTGTCTACGAGGTAATACACCGATCAAAATGAAATTGAGGTCAAATTCTTAGTTGTAATAAAATTATGATGTTATATTTTTCAAAGGTTTACCAATATTTATAAGTATGTACATTACTAGTACAGTCTGATTTGAAATAATTCAATAGGGTACTTGTCAAGTTTTAGAAAACGATCTCACGTTATTGACTAATGTTTATGGAGTCCGTAAAAAGTGGATATCCATCAATCTATTGTGTATTTCAGTAAAAATGACCAAATCAAGAACTCCATTTTCAAGTTGCCGCGAAAACGTTTCTCTGGACAATATGGCATCTTACTAGTGTGTGACGTCACACGTCTGTTATTAACACGTCAAACGATACAATGTAATGTCACTTTACCCGGAAGTTTACTTGCGTGTTACGTCATTTTAGGCTCCGTCAATCCCAAGCGTTTTGGGTCAAGTGACAATAGACAAGAAAACTTATCTTTTTCGTGGGGTTTTACTAAAATTATGAATATTTTTTTTGTAAATATAGTAAAAACACCTGCCAATATTCATTCTAAACACAGATGCTAACAATTGGCACTTTATTTTTAATACTGTCAAATACCCTATTGTAATAATTCTAATACGTTTTGATTTGTTATTATCTATTGATCTGTATGTGTCTGACTGTTTTTTTTAATCATATACTTGTACAAGTATTACATTAAGTACGTTCTGTAATAAATAAGTTATCGAATATAATTTGTTGTACATCTCATAAAAATATATTATTATATTTTTCAGATTTTTAATCACAACAATTTATAGTGCGAATTGTGTTTAATTTGCCCTGAATATAATTTAAATATTATCTTCAATGTGTCCTTACATTATCAAGATTACCCAGACTCCACTCTAGATGAATTGTTGGCATTAGTTGGTTTAAGTTGCCTTTATATCGTTTAACACTTCTCAGTATACTCGAATTGTTAATTATGATAATTAAGTAATTTTTGTTAGCCGGTGTATGTTATATTACGTTACCAATTAAATAACCAAAGTTAATAGTCATAGAAACTTATTATGAATGTTACATTCCTTTATAATTATATACAATATTTTTTGTTTTTATGTTAAGGATTAAGTGTAAAGTTTTCGAAGTTTAAAAAGCTGTAATACCATAATATACAAGAAACCTAAAAAAATAAAAAATACAGGACCCAAAAAAATTTTAAGGTTTTTTAATAAATTGTCATAATTAAAGCGAATTGATTAAATTGATTTATTTAAAAAATTGTTGGCTGTGATTGGCGCTTAGTAGTGTGTAATAAATTCTCGTTAATTGATTTTGAACTTACAGTTACACAATTTAAAGTTTTAAATTACCTGTAGAAAATCAGTTTTGCAGGTTTTTCATGAGTCACAACGTGTTGTACTTATTAAATATATAATGTGTATATATCGTAGTTTCAACTATAATATATATTTATAATTTAATTTTTTAAGCATGTAACTCTTTGCTGTTTAAATCTAAAGAAAATATAACTAGAAAAAACAGAATTATAACTATAATTGCTATTTCTTCTTTCAAATGTTTAATACTTGTAAAAGTATTCATTTGACATTGTGGGTTACCTACAATGCGAAGAGATGGCGCTGCCTTGCAGCTTAAGGCTAGGAAAATTTCGACGCGGCGAATAGCGCTTACCATTTCCATTCGCCATTTCCATTCGCGCTTCGCATTGTAATGCGAAGCGCGAAATGGCGCTGCCTTGTAGCTTAAGAATGGCTAGAAGAATTTCGACGAAAGAAAGTCCCACTTATATAAAACATGTAGTATACAATGCTTGCATCAAACTTACTGGATAAACAAAATATATGAAGTAAATAAGTGATTTATATTTGTATGATACTAGTTGTCTATGCAAAGTAAACGAAATAATGTTTTAAATAGCCACAACAAGTATACTACAAGTTTTGTTTAAAACTAATATATGACTTATAATTTTTTTACCTACAATGCGAAGAGATGGCGCTGCCTTGTAGCTTAAGAATGGCTAGAAGAATTTCGACGCGGCCGTCAGGGCCGCGGTAGCATAATTGGTCAGTGCATTCGCCCGGATTGCGAAGGGTGCGGGTTCGAGTCCCGTCTGCTGCCTGGTCCGCGTGGAATTTTTTCTAGTTATATTTTCTTTAGATATAATAAATATATTTAGAGTATAAGGATTTTGATAATATAATTATGATTTATGTCATTAATATGTACCTTATTATTGCTCAAAGCAAATAAAAGCTACCCTGAAAGTGTAAGTCAAGCTCAGAAAAGCCTTTCTCAGAAAAGTCTCCCGATTTGGACCGGTCGGTCGGTGGTAGTTTAAGGTAGTTAGGTTCAAATAAAAAAAACACAAACATTTTATTAAGTAGTTTTATTAAATAAATTAGTATAAAACGTCATACATCCGAGCGTGCCAAAAAAGATACTTTAAAAGGTAGCTAGACAAAAAATATTCCTACATTTTATAAAATGGGATTTGTGCCCGTAAAAATATACTCGTACCTATCGCTATTTACCTGTTAAAAAGAGTGATTGGAGTGCGTGAAAACATAAGAAATAAGAATGTTCTTGAATTGAATAGATATATTTTGTTTAATAAATATAGTTTCCTAGCAAAGAACAAGCTTACCAAAGCATAGTTGAGAAGATATTTTTGTATATTATCATTAACAAAAAAACTAGAGAATTGTCACACTGATAATGAACGACATTGCGTTATAGTTATATAAGATGTTTTTTATGTTGTTTATGGTGGTGTAAATAATACTATTTTCCATTAAAAATGTTTATAACAAAATATGTGTTGTATTTGTAATAATAAATATTACTTTAGTCTAGCCCATCACCATATTCCATTCTTTAGTCTACTAGGTAGATTATATCAAAAAGTATTAAACACGTAATTTTTCTTTATTCATATATTTATATCATTACAGAGATATATTGATTTGAAATGTCGCGTGACGTCATTTCATGGTGCAATTTTTACTTAGAACTGACGTCACGAGCTCCCACTTCCGAACTTTGACGGGATTCATTTTTTCCCATTATTGGTTGATTGACTAAAGAACCAATTTGTGTTGGATTTTTTTTATAGTCTAACTGACGGACTAAATAGAATTTTGATTATCCTGTCATGATCCCCATTTCAACAAATTGAGAAAGGATATCATTTTATATCTTCTTCTTATTTTATTTTATGGCTTATAATTGTGCCTTTGGGGGCGTCCATAAATTACGTGAGATGTTTAAGGGGAGGAGGGGGTCGAGTCAAATCTTACGTTGGAGAGAGGGGGGGTCTCGTAAAATATCACGCATTTTTTTTTCACAGTAGTATCTATTAAGTATTCTATTGTTAAATTTTTATTACACTTATAACTCTCAGCAATATTGATTTCTAGTCTTAACTAGTCGTAAATAAAAGCACGAAGCATTTTTTTTCTTTTTACAATAAAAATCCTAAACGCTTTGGATTTTTGGACGCGAAAGAAACCCACATTTTGAAAAATCTCACGTGAGATTGGGGGAAGTGGGTTGAATAAAATCTCACGACATCTCACCAGGGGGGGGGGGGGGGGGGGGGGGAGGGAGCGACAGAACTCCCAAAAAAAACACCTCACGTAATTTATGGACGCCCCCTTTTCAATACCGCCAGTGTCACGTAAGTAGCTTCTACAAAACGTGGAGAGTCACCAGGATCCCACGAAATCCCTTTCGGCAGACGAGAAAGCACTGGGGGAGGAGGAGTCCCACATAACTCCGTCTCTCACCCAGGGGCGGGGTACGCGTCACGCATTCTTCTACGCGGCCGCCGAAGGGGGGGGGGGGGGGGGGAAACAAATTACAAATTCTTTATTTGATACAATAATTTCCGATACAGTATTGCATGTGGGTGTATGAGTGTGTGAGTGTACGTGTATGTGTGTGTTTTGAATTGATGGTTTCTATGCAGATTCTGAACATGTTTATCTAAAACAAACGCAGGAACTCACAAATCAAATTGTGGTTAAAGGTATATTAATAACGTTATTTAAGTGCACCGTAAACCGAAAGTCATTCTTTTATATCTTGTAACTGATTTGCAACCGGCTGTCAGCTGTCACGCGATTTTTAGTTGCTACCGGGTTTGCGCAACTAGAAAAGCTGTTTTAAAACCTGCCAATGCCAAAATATACAATACCACTCGTGTCTTCATTACTGTTTTGAACGAAGAACACAATCTAGTTTGGCCATGCATTCGCCACACTAGTTTGACAGGGTTCCTATCCGTAACACTAGTGAAAGAAAGGAGACGGTTGAAATATGTATGGAGGGTGGTAGTCAGTCTCCGGCAGACTCAAAAATTTTATGAGATGTATTTCATTTAATTGTAAATCGTTTGCCAAAAATCTGGAATTTATTTTATCCTCGTTTTTTTAAATAATTATTATAATATCAGTGAATGGCAAGTTTATTTATTTATTATTTGTTGCCCAAACTTCAAATATATTCTATTCAAAAGGTAACTAAAGAAGTGATAATCTTTCTGTTCACCTTTCATTACAGTATTAGGTATTTTGTGGGTATTTTATTTCAAAAAGAATCCATTAATTGCTTAGATTAAAACAAAAAGGGAAGATACAGTACGCTCATACTAGCATCAAATAAAATATGATTCGACTTAACCACATAAGCAACTCTCACACACGCATATAAACATTCAATCGAGCGAGCGAAATAGAACTGTACGCTTCAACGCAGCGCGAACGGAATGGCGAGTCCGCTTCCGAGTCCGTACGGCTGAGCTGTATTGTTGTCCTTTTCTTGATAACAAAATGGCGATTACGTTAATTACATTCATGACAAACCGTGTTTTTACAGTTTTGAGAATGAAAAGTGTTGCCGAGGCATTTGTTGTTTGATTTTGAACTATTTGTGTTCTTTATAAAAGCATCGAAGGCATTACAGGAAAAAAAATATCCATCCTTGAATATGTATTGGGTCCCGACTGTTAAAGTAGCTTTGTTCCTTACTTAACAGAATTATAG